CCTCACTGACCCTAATAATAATAATAATAATAATAATAATAATAATAATAATAATAATAATAATAATTAGAAGAAGGAAGGAATTGGAAGAAGAAGAAGAACAACAACAACGCCAATATTTATTAATTTATTAATTTATTAATTTATTTGCTTATTTGTTGTTTGTTTGTTTGTTTTTATATTCTGTAGACCTATTTAATTAATTAAGTGGCACAGTTGTTCAGTGAGTAATGTTGTCACCTCACAGCCCCCATCCAGGTTGTATTCCCCCACAGTGTTCCCAGGATAAGCTCCGGATCCACCGCGACCCTGACGAGGATAAAGCGCTTACTAAAAGTGAGTAAGAGAGAATTTATTAATTAGAGATCATGTTAGTGTTAGTTCAGCATGGTGCAGAGTAGAGTATGGCCACGGCTGTAGGCCAGGGCCCTGGATGAAAGAAGGCCCCAAATCAATCAAACCTGCTGGGCTTCACTCCCTCCCTCTGCAGCTGGATCGTGGACTTCCTGACTAAACCAACACACTGTTCGGATCGGATGTGACACTTCCTGCACCGTCACACAGCACTGGCACACTGCAGGGCTCCGTGCTCAGCCAGGTGCTGTTCACACTGATGAAGCATGACTGCACTGTGAAGTGTGGCTCAAAGTGGATCATCAAATTTGTAGATGATCCCACAGTAGCAGGACTTCCTCAGCAACAACGACGAGACAGAATGTGTTGCGTAAGATACGTAGAGGTTTGATTCGGCTAAGCTGGTGGATTTTTGTAAGGTAAAGTTAGTTTAGGTGGCCAGGTCCAGCCCACTATTAGTTCAGTGCCTGGGAAGGCTGCTCTTTCTTTTTTGACGGTTGTCCTCTTTTTTCCTCCACATGCTCTATACTGTTCTTTTGTGAGGATCTCTCTCTCTCTCACCACTTTCCACTTTGAATATCAAGTTCATTTAAATGTTTTTTCTAATTGTTTAAATAATTAATTTTTTTTTATATTTGTGTTTTTCCTTTCCTCTTATTCAATTCTGCTTTCAGCTCCTGCTCTCTCTCTCTCTCTCTCTCTCTCTCTCTCTCTCTCTCTCTCTCTATCTCTTATTATTATTATTTAGGAATCATGTTAGTGGTAGTTCAGTATGATGAACAGTAGTGAAAGGCACTATGAGCCCCTTCACACTGTCCAGGATGAGCTCAGTGCACGAGATGTCCTGTCTTTCTTCACGACTGAATGGCGGGATGACGGAGGAAATAACAAAGAGCAGGAAGAGGAGTGTGAGGATGAAGCTGCACACTGTAACCAGCATGTCCTTCAGCCTGGACTGTCTCACTTCACTGTGAACTGTTGTCACAGGAACTGGAGGAGACCTCTTCCTCGTCACCTTGCAAACCTTTCTTTCACGCACGCGCAAACGCGCCCTTTCGCGCGCCGCTTTTTCTGCACCCTCTATCCGCGCTGCGGTTTCCTCCGCGTGCACGGAACAGTCCTCATGTAAAGCTAATAATTCCTGAATCTCTGCATTTCTCCTGTTAATGACCTCGTCTCTGTCAGTGAGGGCGTGCTGCACCTCGTGCATGCCACGTTTGGCTGTGAACACCGCTCGCTTGAGATTTTCTAACCTTAACTGCCTGTGTTTTTCAGCTCTTCTGATGTATCGCAGATCCGCGAGCGCGTCCTCGAGACACTCGTTTTCCCTCTCCTCCTCTTCCAAGCGCTCCTTCTCTTCCTGCTCTCTCGCGCAGGACTGATGGAGAGCCTCCAGCATAGTGTGCTTCTCTTCTTCAAACTCTGGGACATCATTCAGTAAAATCCGCAGACGCTCAGCATGCTTCTTCAGGCCCTTGTTCTCCTGGAGCAGCTGCGAGTTCATGGAGCGCACATGCAGGTCATGGACACTGTCTGACTCCGACATGGAGAAGAACTCAGCACCGTGTGTGTGTTCCATCATCCGGATAATCAGCTAATTCTGACAATAATAATAATAATAATAATAATACAGTAATCAAGGTCAAACCAAATACAGCTCGTCGCAGCAAATGAATTCCAGTGGACGCGCGTGACCCAGTCCTTTTCTATCCAGGGTCTGTGACGTCACAATGGTCTCAAAAGTGACATCACACAAGCGTTTTTTTTTCCTTTTATCGTTCACGCAAGTCATAATGTTAAATATTTAGCTAGAAGTATTACTACTACTACTACTACTACTACTACTACTAATAATAATAATAATAATGATAATAATAATAATGTCACTTTTCATTTAGAGGTGAAGTCACATAAGTCATATTCAGCCAGATAACGTATAAAAACAATAACAACAACCATAATAATAATAATAATAATAAGTTTTAATCTATTTTCCATTGTTTCTTCATTGTTTCTTTCTTTCTCTTTCCCTCTGGATTTGCATTTTTAATGTATATGCTAATTAAAAATATTATAAAATAATGCAATGTTCCACAAGAGGGCAGTGTTTTCCCAAGTGAGATTGGGAAATAAAACAGTACCTCAAAAATGCAGAGACTGCTAATCTGGGTACAAAAACCCCTCACTGACCCTAATAATAATAATAATAAGAAGAAGAGGAAGAAGAAGAAGAACAACAACAACAACAATGCCAATATTTATTTATTTATTTATTTATTTATTTGTTTGTTTGCTTATTTGTTGTTTGTTTGTTTGTTTTTATATTCTGTAGACCTATTTAATTAATTAAGTGGCACAGTTGTTCAGTGAGTAATGTTGTCACCTCACAGCACCCATCCAGGTTGTATTCCCCCACAGTGTTCCCGGGATAAGCTCCGGATCCACCGCGGCCCTGACGAGGATAAAGCGCTTACTAAAAGTGAGTAAGAGAGAATTTATTAATTAGAGATCATGTTAGTGTTAGTTCAGCATGGTGCAGAGTAGAGTATGGCCACGGCTGTAGGCCAGGGCCCTGGATGAAAGAAGGCCCCAAATCAATCAAACCTGCTGGGCTTCACTCCCTCCCTCTGCAGCTGGATCGTGGACTTCCTGACTAAATCACCACACTGTTCGGATCGGATGTGACACTTCCTGCACCGTCACACAGCACTGGCACACTGCAGGGCTCCGTGCTCAGCCAGGTGCTGTTCACACTGATGAAGCATGACTGCACTGTGAAGTGTGGCTCAAAGTGGATCATCAAATTTGTAGATGATCTCACAGTAGCAGGACTTCCTCAGCAACAACGACGAGACAGAATGTGTTGCGTAAGATACGTAGAGGTTTGATTCGGCTAAGCTGGTGGATTTTTGTAAGGTAAAGTTAGTTTAGGTGGCCAGGTCCAGCCCACTATTAGTTCAGTGCCTGGGAAGGCTGCTCTTTCTTTTTTGACGGCTGTCCTCTTTTTTCCTCCACATGCTCTATACTGTTCTTTTGTAAAGATAATTATTCTTTTATCTCTGCATCCTTCATTCTAATGATCTCTCTCTCTCTTTTTCTCTTGACATTTGTGTTTTTCTTTTCCTTAATCCCTCGGATGCTTAATCTATTGCTTTTTTATTATCATGTTCCATATCTCTTCCAGGTTATCTGTACAAATGAGGAATAAAATGGACTATTGTATCTTTAATGAAAATAAAACAATGTTGTATTCTTATGTAGTATTTTTAAGACAAAATCACAGTAACGGTTCCACAGGAAATAGCCAGTAAACCCTCTCTGGTGATAGCATGAAGTAAATATTTTCTCTTATGTCTCATGGGACGTGATGACAGTCAATTATTATTGGTTACATTATAAATCAAATATTATAAATTATAATTGATTATAAATTGATTACTATCAAAGAAGGACTTCATACTTCAATTTTTAAACTTATATGTAAATAATTCAACAAGCTAGCTACGTGATTTGCCTGCAACTCTTTTAAACACTTTTAATGCCTTTAAAATAGTCGTTCCCTATGGAGGAAAGTCTTGGATGAGAAAAAATTTAACCTGGATGGTCCTGATTACTTCCAACTGTTACTGATACTGCCTGATACTGGCATGACAAGGAGATCCCACTGGAGATGTTTTCTACGCGGCATAGTGGAGGAGGCTCCATCATGATCTGGGGTGCTTTTTCCTTCAATGGGAAAATGGAGCTTCAGGTTGTGCAGGGGCGTCAAACGGCGGCTGGCTACGTGGACATGTTGCAGCAGGCATCCCTCTTGACTGAGGGCCCTCGTCTGTGTGGTAACGACTGGGTCTTTCAACAGGACAGTGCTGCAGTTCACAACGCCCGCATGACGAAGGACTTCTTCCAGGACAATAACGTTGCACTTCTGGACCATCCTGCA